AATGTCTCACGTAGATAATACCGTCGTCGAAGTCACTGGAGTCTATGGCAGTTTTAGGAGATCGGGAGAAAATGACGGGTTCAATCGTTTCAATTTTTCTACGCATTGGAAATGGCAAGTTCGATGGGCGTGGTTTCTATTTTGGGGGAAAATATAACCAAGAGATTTTCCTCCTTTTTCCACACTTTTATTACATGTACACAACCTGTGAACTAAGAACCTGTGTGATAGAAATTAAATTCTGATTTTGTATCAATGGGGGCAGTCCAATTTGACACATTGTGGACCATAAAGAAAAATAGTATGATGACTTACCTAATTGAGGTTGCTTTTACAAATCATAAGAAAAAAAAATACCTAACTTTTTTGAGAATTCAAAAAAATATTTAATTATGTAGTAATGAATCTAACACAATGACCAAAAAATATTCAGGTAATCGATCGACACTTAGGTTGTTCTCGTTCTTACAGCTACACTATAAATCATTTAGGTCAAATTATGAAACAGATTTTTCATATATTTTACACTAGTTCAAGCCAAAAAGTTTTCCTTACTTTTTCTTCACATATATTCCACAAACTATCTTTTGAAATAGTATTTCAATTTACTAGTGACGGTCCTTGTTCTAATGTCACGTATGATAGGTCGAGACTGATATTCTTTAATAGGATTTAGTACATGTTCGGTGAAAGGTCACAAGAAGCCGATTAATCTCTCATTATTACCTCAATCAATTTGCTAGATGTTCAAAATTTCTTGCCAACTTTTGAAGTTTTATAACGACTTAAAGTTACTATATCTTGATGTGTAGTGATGGTTTATATATTGTGTACAAGCACCTCCTTGTTCCTATACAACACTTATTGATTGATCTAATTTTTCTACTAATGCTTTGGTCAAATGGGTCGTTTTCATTTGGAATAAAGAAAATATGAAGTATAATTTTTAAAAAAAATTAATTTTTTGATATTTCAAATAGATTCTAAGTTTGCATTATTATTTTAAATAGACAAAAGAATTGTGGTTTTGAGGTTATAGTTAAAAGTCACTTCCATGTACAAATTATATGTGCATAACCACGTGTACAATAATTAAAGGTGGATGATTCATGGTCGAGAAAATTGATCAAGAAGTCAAATGCTCATCCAATTAAAGGTCAAGTATCCTATCAAGATTTAATTTAATGCGAGAATATTCAATACGCTCATCATACTTGTCCCTATAATTGAGGTTTCTTGAATCAAACCTCAACATATTCTTC